TCTTATTTCTTTCGTTACTGCTCTCATCAGCTTCCTAGAACGATTTGGTTGAGCCCCATAACACGTCATATAGTCATCAGAACACTTTCGTTTTGCCGGTTTCACCAATGCCTCGTAAAGTCTAGCAACTTTGGCCATCCATAACAAATCAGAGAAGAAATGGTGGAAAATTCGAAAATGCACAAGAAGCTCACCTCCTCCGCGGCCGCGTGGCAAAGGATTTTTTCTCATTCGCTCTGATCATCGCGCCCAGACTATAACGCCTGAATTGAAAACATTCTTGTTCGGCAGTCAAACACAAGCATCTATAAGCACTCAACACGGAGGAGAATGAGTTTGCTAATGAGCGCCATCCCGCACATATTCGTTGCTCAATATCACCCGTGGTATTGAAGCACGACATGTACAGGACAGCACTAATAGTGGGAACAAAATAAACCGTGACAAAAAGGAGGGCATGCTCGTAACGGAGGTAGCACGCACATAAAACCCAATCATGCGGGGCGAATGCTCATCGCGTACTGGAGAGTTGGTAGCGAAGGCTGCGGATGCTGCGCTGTCGTGAAACTCACCTAGGATCCCTGACAGTGCCCACGTAAAACCCGTTGGACGACGAGCCGCTTATCGGAATGGGAAGAGAACGCTGAAATGAGGTTGCTGATGTTGGGAACAAATTCGACTTTACTTAGTGAAAGCAGACAATTTTCGGCAAAGGACAGAATTCCCCAGAGTGCGCGCCATGACAAATGGGTGCTAAAAGGTCTGTGCTGTTTGAGCTAGTGAGACGTCTAAAACCGTAAGCGATACCCCCCGCAAAGCACAATGAACTTGCTCTCCGGTTACACCACACACCCGCCTCGTTGCTGTTTCTCAAATACATCGCAACCGACCAACATTCAACATCTCTCGCTGGGCTCACTGACAACAGGCCTGTGCACACTTCTCAACTGACGATTCCACCGCCAGCCACCCATATGGGGTGCAACAATGAACAAATGCCTTGAAGTGAGCGCCAGAATAAACTGGCATGGCTTGAGTCCTCTCCGTTCGACAGCAAATTCGGTGGCGAGATTGACGGATAGCACTGAACCTTAGGAAGCAGATG